AAAAAAAAAAAAAAAAAAAAAAAAAAAAAAAAAAAAAAAAAAAAGACAAAAAGTAGGCTGACTGGTTAGCTCAGCTGGTTAGAGCTGGTCTTTGGTTCAAGACAAATAGTAAATGATTCCATTCACATGAAGTTCCTAGAATAGTCAAATTTATAGAGACAGAAAGTAGAACAGTGGTTACCAGGAGCTAGGGAAAGGGGAATGGGGAGTTGTTATTTAATGGGTACAGAGTTTCAGTTGGGGAAGATGAAAATTCTGGAGATGGATGGTGATAGTGGTTGCACAACAGTGTGAATGTACTTAATGCTGTTGAACTGTACACTTAAAAATGGTTAAAATGGTAAATTTTGTGTTCTGTAAATTTTCCACAATGTAAATAATTTTTTAAAACCATGCACGCAAATGTTGATAGCATTATTCACAATACCAAAATATTAAAAACCCAAATTTCCTCCATTGGGTGGGGTGAGTGGTAACACAAATTCTGGTACATCCATAGTGAAATACTACTTAGCAATAACAAGGAATCAACTACAGATACAGGTAATGACCTAACTGAACCTCAAGGGCATTATGCTTAGTGACAAAGGTCAGTCCCGAAACGTTACATACTGGATGCTTCTATTCACAAAACATTCTTTTTTTTTTTTAAAGATGACCGGTAAGGGGATCTTAACCCTTGACTTGGTGTTGTCAGCACCACGCTCTCACAAGTGAGCTAACCAGCCATCCCTATATAGGATCTGAACCCGTGGCCTTGTTGTTATCAGCATCACACTCTCCCAAGTTAGCCATGGGCCAGCCCTCACAAAACATTCTTGACGTAACAAAACTGTAGAGATGGAGAACAGATCAGTGGGTGCCAGGGGTCAGGGACAGAGCAGAGTGGTGCAGATACAAAGAGAGCGCATAGGGGAGTTCTTTTGCGGCAATGAGAGTTCTGCATCATGACTGTGGTGGTGTCACACGAATCTGTACTGGGATAAAATTGCATAGGGACACACACACACACACACACATACACATACACACACGTTTAAAAATATGACAGTGACTGAATATGACACGTGAAAGCAACATGGGTTAACATGGCTCAGAAGCAGCAAAGGGAGGGCATGAGGGGGGAAGTCTGGAGTTGGTGCCCAGCAGGCTGCTGCCTTGGTGGGCACCAAGTTCCACACCTGGCGCTCCTGGGTGACTGACCATGGAGTTGGAAAGGAAGGGGTCAGCACATCAGACCACTTGAGGAGGCAGGCAGATCCTGGGTGAGTGGAGAAATGCCGTCCCTGCTGCCTGAAGTGGGGGAGGACCAGACTTTGGGTCTGGGGTGGGCCGTCTTTCCCAGTGTGGCACAGGCTGCAGCGCCTACACTGCCATCTATTTGGTCAGAACTCTGGGAGTAGGCCCATCAGAGCCCTGAGAAGTGAGAGGGAAGACAGGACTTACTGACTGAGCTCTGGGGATACTCCTGATCTCACCCCCTTGCCTGCAGAGCCACCTGAGGGCACTGTCGATCACTCGTTCCTGGTAGCCGTCCAGGAGCCATCAGCCGCGGTCTTTGCAGAGAGAGCTGCTGTCTCCATGATGAGACCCCTCTGCAAATGTGCCGGGAGAGTCAAGGCTGCAGGGGGGTGGTGTGCCGGCTGTGGCACCCAGACATTCCGGCCTCTTCCTCCTTCACAGTGTTTGGGGTTGGGTTGTCTCTGTGATCACAGTGAAGAGACAGAGTTAGAGAAAAGTTGTTCTGAATAATGAGACAGAGGCAGGATGGCCTAAACCTAGGATGAGCAGTGAAACCCAATTTGGTGTGTTTTTATTGGCTCTTGATCTTGTTAGGGAGGACCCTGCTTTGGGGTACCTCCCCACCCCCACCCTGCTTCTGTTCCCCATTACTTGGGCCTTATCAGACTCCCTGTGCATTCTCAATCTCCTCACAGGCGATTTTTGCGCAGAAAAACAAGCTGGTGCCTGACCCGTTGGACACTAGACGCTGGCAGGGCTTCCAGCTGGAGGAGTACCTGATAGGGCAGTCCATTGGCAAGGGCTGCAGCGCGGCCGTGTACGAAGCCTCCATGCCTGCGTTGCCCCAGAAACTAGAAGTGGCAGAGAGTACCAGGCTTCTTCCAGGCAGAGGCCCAGATGTCATTCCACAAAGAGAAAAGGAGGAGCAAGCTCTGGGGGCCCCTGCCTTTCCCTTGGCCATAAAGATGATGTGGAACATCTCGGTAAGGATGGGGCCTTTCCTCTTTACAGTAGGCATTTCTCAACATGCCAATCTTAGTGTACTTGGTGTTTTCTTTTTCCAGGAAGTAGATAGGAAAAGACAAATTCTGCACAGGAAGGGTGCCTATGTAGTTAGGCTTCCTCATCTCTTATGCAGGAGTCTAAAGCAGCATGTCTCAAATTGTAGTATGTCCACAGATCACCTGGGGATCAGGTTCAAAGGCAGATTTGGATTCAGCAGGTCAGAGGTGGGGCCTGAGAGTCTGCCTTTCCAACAAGCTCCCAGGCGATGCCAGTGCTGCTGGTCTGTGAACCACACTTTGAGTAGCAAGTGCCTAAATCATTGGTTTCTAATCCAATCCATTAGTTCATGTCAGGTAGGTCTGCCATTACTGCTTTCCCCTCTTTCCCATGACCTGCCTTGCTGGAGAGCAGGATGTTCCTTTCCTCTGAACTCACCCTTCAACTCACCTCCAGATCAAAGGCGGGCTTCTCACCTCCCTGCTCTCAGCTCTCGGAGCAGTCAAGGTTTTGGGAAATTGAAGAATATACTTCTCGCCCACTCCCCGCAACCAAGAAAAACAAAGATTTGTCTATTTAGAGTAATTTCTCTACCTTGCCTTTACTAGATGAGTTTAGAAAATTAATCAAGACCTGTTGTTCTTTCTCCTGCCCAGAGCATTATCCAAAGCTAAGGTGGAAAACAGCCACAGAAGTTCATGCCAGTCATTGAAGAATGCAGTATCTTGTTTTGATTTTGGGCATGAAGGTTATTAGACTGTTGAACTCCAAACTAGGTTAATAGCTAACAAGTAGCCAAATCCTTTGCCTGAGAAACATCTAGTCTTAGCATCAAAACTTCCACTGGTTGGGTGTGACAGCTATTGCATTCACAAAAGCTAAAAGACTGTTGATTCTTACAGGATCTTCTTGATACCTAACAGGTTTCATAGGTCCTGAGAGCCATTCATAACAAAATGAGGAAAAAAAGGTGCTTTTCCTCCTCTTTGGTTTTTGGTTGTTTGTTTTGGGGAATGGGGGCAGACTGGTCTATGATTCAGCACAACTTAATCCACGGTAGAGTTTGTCAGGCTCCAGCCTGTCTGCTGAAGGGAGCCTGCAGAACGAGTCTCGGTGATCCAGTGGTCGGTTTCAAGCTGTGGTGACCAGAGGCATCTATGGCAGGAGGGGTGGCCAGAGGCATCTATGGCAGGAGGGGTGGCCAGAGGCATCTATGGCAGGAAGAGTGCCCCGTGTCCTGATCACCTTGGCATCTCCTCCTGCCCCAGCATCTAGGCTACCAAGAGGGATGGGAAGCGTCCTCTGAGTTGGCATGGGTGGTGCCTCTACCCTCAGTCTCTGAGGAGTAACTAGCCTTGGCTTGCCACTTTAGAGAGGTTATCTTAAAGGTCAAAGCCAATTCTAGGCAATAGCTGTCCTTGTCCAGATTACAGGCAGGGCTTGGAATTTGCCATTCTGCTTGGGTCTGTGTAACCCTGGATTCACTGTGGATGTGTTCCAGGCAGGCTCTTCCAGTGAAGCCATCTTTAGCAAAATGAGCCAGGAGCTTGTCCCAGCTAGCCGAGTGGCCTTGGCCGGAGAATATGGAGCAGTCACTTACAGGTAAGTGCCTATCTGCCCACCAGACCGACTGTGAGTTCTTTGAGAACAAAATAATCACCTGTGTCCCCAGCAGTCAGCACATCGTCAGACACGACACATAGCAGATAGTAAATGCTTACTAAAAGATGTCTTTAATGATGGATTTTCAGTTAGTGGATAATTAGCTTGGGAAAGATTCCAGATCATCTGACTCCAATTGATGATGCCGATGGCTGATTCACATTGGAGCAGGGGAGGGAAGGCCATCCAAAAATGCCCAATTTGGAATGTTGGAAAATTGATGCCAATTCTGATTCTCCCTAAGTAATGCACAGTGGAGGGCCACCTATTGGTACAAACTGAACAATGTCCCCACAAGTGGGAACATTCATGTAATAGCTACAGCGCACCTGATGTGCCAAGTGATTTTTAAAAAAAACAAAAGTGAAGCCGGCCCGTGGCTCACTCGGTAGAGTGCGGTGCTGATAACACCAAGGCCCCGGGTTCGGATCCTATATAGGGATGGCCGGTTTGCTCACTGGCTGAGCGTGGTGCTGACAACACCAGACCAAGGGTTGAGATCCCCTTACCGGTCATCCTTTGAAAAAAATAATAATAATAAAAAAAAATAAAAAAACAAAAGTGGTCTGCTCCCCACGAGTTTTCAGTGTGGCAGCAGAGCCCGACAAGTCTGGAGCAGAGAGCCCCGCACAGTAAGTGCTGCAGTTGCATATGCTCAAGTGCTGAGGGAGCCCAGAGTAGGTGTGTGCCCTGCAAGGATGGGGCCACTCAGAAAGGCTTCTCACAGGGACAGTTTGTGCTGCCATTTGAAGGAGGAATTGGCATCACCTAGGCAAAAAAAGTAGGACAAGAGGTGTTGTCAGCAGAGTGAAGAGCAGGTGCATGGCAGCCTACGCTTCCGGCTTTGTAAATCCCCCTGTGTACAGGTGGTGAAGATGCCCGAGCTTAGTATTTGTACCCCACCAGGAAGAGGTGGCGCTGCTGCATTTTTGGTGATTTACTAGAAGGCTAGATTATAGATCTGAGTTCTGTCAGAAGCAAGAAGGCAGAAATAAGAACCTAAGAGAATATACATGGAAAACCCCTTCAGTGGCTTGGAAGGCTCCAGTGTGACTGAGAGTCCGTGCGGGCTGAAGCAGCAGCACGGGTGTGCTCAGCACTGTCATCCCCTTCTTAGCCCTTCCTAGAGAAAAGTGCACACCTGAATGTCAGCTGCTGGGGGGATAAAATTATCCTCAGGGGGCTTTTTGTGGTGTTAGCATCCGCCTGCTGGCGTGGCACTGTCATAGAGCTGTGAGCACTGTGGTGTCACCCACGGAAACCTTCTGTCTGAAATAATCCCTGTCACTCTGTTTTTCATGGCATTTATCATTATCTGTCCTTAAATCATGTATGTCCTTGTCTTTTTATTCGTTGTCTCTCCGGCTGTACCTTAAGTGCTGTTTTGTTTATTGCTCACCCCGACAGTTCAGTAAATGTCTGTGGAGTGATTGGACAGATATGGCAGAAGGTGTATTGCCTAAAGTGCTGATGTAGCTCAGAAGAAACTCTGCCCTGAGAGTGCTCTGGGTTCCTCCCCACCTGGCCTGTGCTGGTCTAGGGACCTCAGATTCAGAGCCCTTTGTGAACTGCCTCTCTCATTTCTTCTCCCTCTCATTTCTCATCCTTTCCCATTTACACCCCACTGAATTCCATACTGCATTCCCAGATGCACCAGGCTCCTCTGTGACCATCCACTGAGTGTGCAGTTTGCTATTCTTGAACTGTGCTCTCCCGCATGTTTCAGGTCTCAGTTCCAACACACCCCCATGTATCTCCCCAGCACAGCCACACCGTCTGCCTCTGGGCTCCCATGACAAGTGTTGGGACCCTGACAGCCCTGTGCTGTGATCCAGCTTTTCCCCATAGCCCAGCAGCCCAAGGGCAAGAACCAGGCTTGGACTCCTTTGATTACATACAACAGAAGCCCACTCAGGTTGACTCAAGAGAAGCAGTACAAGGGCCCCTGTGGACTGGATCTGCAAAGCTCAGGAACCATGGCAGCCCTGGGGACAGAGCAGACACCTTGCTCTCTCAGTGTTGTCTCACGTGGCTCTGCTCCGTTCTCTTCTCTCCCATCAGCATCTGTACTTCTTCCGCTGTGTCTCTTTCATTCCTGCATACCTGTGGCTGGCTCACCTCTTTGGGTTCCCATGGCCCCAGTGAAGTCTCATGGTATCCTTCACCTTCAGCTCCATTGCCGACTGGCAAGTTTCTTCATTCGCAGTCCCCAAAGAGAGAACCCACCTTCCTCCCTCCTTTTTACCATTTAGATCTCAGATGTGACTGTAGGCTCATTGCCCTTGGGGCGGGTGCCCACCCTTGGTCCAGGGAGCTTTGGCTGGTACATAGCCACTGTGCCTCAGCAGGGCTCTGGGTGTGGGGCTTCCCAGAGGAGGAGGAATGGGCAGGGCAGGCAGGTGACATCTCTATTACCAACTACATCTGTTTCCATTCATTCAAGGTTATGCTAGAACCTGGACTCATGTAGTCATGGTCCCTGCCCTTAGGGAGCTAAAATAATTACTTTTTCAATGAACATCCCTCTCCCCTGTTAGATCACAAACCCATGATGATAGAGACTCTGTCTTATTCTCGGCCATAGCTCCACAGCACACTAGCATGATGTGTGGCACTTAGTGTGAAAACAACAAATGTTAGTTGAATGAATAAGAGTAACAGCTAATATTTCTGAATGCTTCTTGTGTGCTAAACATGATTCTAGTTACTTTACACGTATCAGCAAGCTTATGTGGTATGTTACTACCTTATTCCCCTTTTGTACTTGAGCCCAGAGAAGTAACTTAGCCAGTGATGTACCGTGGCAGACCTGGAGTTCAAACCCAGGCAGTCTGATGCCAGGGTCTCTTAACCACTATGTTCTGCCACATGGGATGGATGGATGGATGGACTGTCTGGCTGAAGGATGGACTAGGGGGGTCATCCAGTGTGTTCCCCAACACCATGTATGGTACCTGGCACATGGCAACCCTACAATATTTGATAAATAAATGAGTGAATAAATAATGGTATTTGTTATGGCCTTAGATTATTCTCTTTCTAGCTGTTGTATCTGATACTGGCCTCATACATTTGTCCCATTTGGCTGAAATAGAAAATCCAAAGGAAGTCTCAAGAAATTAGCACCTCACCCCAACATCATCCGGGTTTTCCGCGCCTTCACCTCGTCTGTGCCCCTGCTGCCAGGGGCCCTGGTCGACTACCCTGATGTGCTGCCCCCACGTCTCCACCCTGAAGGCCTGGGCCATGGACGGACGTTGTTTCTCGTCATGAAGAAGTAAGTGACAGGAGTGTGGCAGGAGCCTGGAGCTGCCTCACCTTCTGAGTGGGAGCTAGTCCCTCCCACTTCGTGCAGCTTGAGCGTGGGGTTTCAGGGAAGAGGGTCCTCACCCTTTGGAGAAAAAGGCTTGCCAAGGGAGTATGTCTGCCCTAGAAAGCAGTTTCCCTTTAGAATGATTTTTCATGAAAACGAAGTCTCATTTTCATCCAGAACATCCTTTTCACCTATTCTTTTGGTATATTTGACTAGGACCCTTTCTCCAGGCTTGTCTTTCTTGTTTTCAACATAAAAGTCCTTCCTCACTCTCTGTACTGCCTAACTTTGCTGTAATGGGTGTTTTAAGGATATAAGTATCTGTACTGATACTTTGAACATGGGGAGTCCCAGCTCTTACTTTACATTTCAGGATGGTGGGTGAGCGGGAATAGAAAGGATACATGGGGGAAAAGAAATCAATAAGCTCCAGGAAGGGGACGAGGAAAGGCCTAATCCTGATAGTGAATAAGGTGCTAGAGACCGCTGATGCGTGACAGCCGGAGGCCCTGTCTCCTCTCCCCCAGCTATCCCTGTACCCTGCGCCAGTACCTTTGCGTGAACACTCCCAGTCCCCGCCTTGCCACTGTGATGACCCTGCAGTTACTGGAAGGCGTGGATCATCTGGTTCAACAGGGCATCGCACACAGAGACTTAAAATCTGACAACATTCTTGTGGAGCTGGACGCAGGTAGGTGCCTGCCGCTCCCTCGGAGCTCTCCAGTTATGCAAGAGGGTGGGTCTGGGAGCATCTAAGACCCTTTGGGTCCTTTTTGGTCACTCTGTACACAGAGATGAGCAATCAGGATAGAGGCTTTTGTTCTCTGTGGAGTGAGAGTTAACAGTTGTTCCCAAGTTCCTTTCTGTTGCCCATTAATAGAATAAAAACCTCAGTGCTGCAAGTTTTCTTGAATAAAGTAAAAGAGGAAGACTTTAGCTTAATATAAAAAATAATTTTCAGACACTGAAAGCTGTCCAAAGGTAAGCCTAGCTGCCTCTGGAAGTAATGAGTTCTCCATCACTAGAAGCATTCAAGTAAAAGCCGAATGGCAACTTGCCTGGGAATACTGTAAAGGAGATTCATACATCTGATAAATTTTGAATAAGAGGAACCGGTTTTTTAAAGGAACTCTGAATCCTTTTACAAATAACTAATTCCTAATGTACCTGCTTCTTAGGTTTGGATTTGGGGTTTCAAATTCAAATCAAAGATTCTTTGGGTGTAAGAGCTCTTAGAGATTCTTTAGGCCAAGCACCAGCTCCTTAGGTCTTGGGAAAGCTCCAATTACTAGAAAATTATTTAGATTGAGTCTTAACTCTTTAATCCAGTCCTTTGCCCGGGGACTTTCTTCCCCCAGGCATTTCCATATTCATGCAGCTGGCCCTCCTGTTGTGCTCCCTGGTGAATGGACTCCCAGCTAGGCCTTGCTAGCCTATGCTCTTGGGCCAACACAGAGTCCCTATTTGTCCTGCTCACCCAGTCTTGATGGTGGCTTTCATGAGGAGGGCCTCAGAGGGAAGGAGAGGGGGATCAGTCGCTTACCTCTGCCCCCTCCCTCCCAGATGGCTGCCCCTGGTTGGTGATCACAGATTTCGGCTGCTGCCTGGCTGATGAGAGCCTTGGCCTGCAGTTGCCTTTCACCAGCTGGTATGTGGATCGGGGCGGAAACGGCTGCCTGATGGCGCCTGAGGTGAGTCCCGCTGGGCATGTCATCTGTCATCAGCAGAAGCCTTTCCACCATGTTTCCCTCAAGACATGACAAGACTTGACACCTCATTATTTACTCAGCACCTCCATCTTTTTTAACCCAAAATTTGGCCCAAGTTCCTTCCCTGCCATTTTGCATTCATCTGGATTTCCCCCTGTTCCTGAGAGATGTGCATTTTGTCAGCATAAATTGGGTAGCCTAAGCAGATTATTCTGGGTCTGGGCCACAGCTCCGTCAGATTCTGGGTTCCTTGGGACAGAGTTCAGACTAGCCCGTAGTCAGGTGAGGCGCAGGAGCATGACTAGGTTGGACATGCCAGCAGCATGACGTCTCACCCATTACTTTCCAAACAGGTGTCCACAGCCTGTCCTGGCCCCCGGGCTGTGATTGATTACAGCAAGGCTGATGCCTGGGCAGTGGGAGCGATCGCCTACGAGATCTTCGGGCTCGCCAACCCGTTTTATGGCCAGGGCAGGGCCCACCTTGAGAGCCGCAGTTACCAAGAGGCTCAGCTCCCTGCACTGCCCAAGTCGGTGCCCCTAGACATGAGACGGTTGGTGAGGTCACTGCTCCAGCGAGAGACCAGCAAGGTGAGACTGCTCCCAAGTTTTGCAGGGACTGTGTAGACGGAAACCTCTGTTCACATTCCAGAGGGAAGGTCAGGTGTGGGCAAGCACCACAGTAACAGACAGAGCCTCTGTCTTACAAAGGTAAAGGCCAAGTACAGGAGAACACAAAATTTGAGTATAGATAGGAATAGGAGAGCTAGCCACCAAATCATTAGAATTGTAGCAGTTCAACTCCTCCAGGCTTTTTTAGTTGCTTAAAAGTTACTCAGAGGGGGAAGGATGCATTTTTGAGAAATGTTTAATGGAGATGTAGCTTATAGAAACAGCTGAGATCTGATCAGATGGAAAAATATTTCCCGAGAACAGATCTGGACACTGTGAAATTGATATAAAGGAATATAAAGGCAAATCTGTTTGAAGCCATAATTGGAGTGGCAGGTCTGGTTCAGGCGGCATGCTGAGCATTCCGACCACTGTTCTACACTTACCTCTCACTGCACGTGGCCTGCTATGGGCTCAGTAGGTGCCCAATGAAGCTTTGTTAGAATAAACTGCAACCAGTTATGACGTGATGGGAGAGCTTCCCTCGCCCAGTATAAGGGACCAGACAGAGCTGTACACAAGAAGTCCGGGGGCTATTCCAGCAATGCATACTGCCCCCATACAGGGAGGAAAAGCCTGGGGCATGGATAGAGAGTAACCAGTACTTGTCAGCTGAGTGAAGGATATCAGAAGGAGAGATGGGGTGGAGAAAGAATTGGGTTAAGGCCAGAGGAAGACCCTGAAGTGACCATTCATTAACAAAGTGGGCCTTGGGCTGAGTACTCGTTACAGATGTTCTAAGCTGCAGCTTCCTTTCCCACTGCAGAGACCATCTGCCCGAGTAGCTGCAAATGTGCTTCATTTAAGCCTCTGGGGTGAACATGTTCTAGCGCTGAAGAATCTGAAATTAGACAAGATGATTAGCTGGCTCCTCCAACAATCAGCTGTTACTTTGTTGGCTGATAGGCTTGCAGAGAAGAGTTGTGTGGAAACAAAAATGAAGATGTTATTTCTGGCTAACCTGGAGTGTGAAGCGCTCTGCCAGGCAGCCCTCCTCCTCTGCTCGTGGAGGGCTGCCCCGTGATGGTTCTGCACACAGCTGGTAAATTACTAAAAGAACTTAACAGCATCTGTGTCTTGCTGGTCTGTGAATGCTGAGAGGGGGACTCCTAGGTGTGAGAGGGTGAGAGTCAGTAGACAAGATGGCACATAGAAGGCTGGTCAACCAGAGAGGGCCTCAGGTTTGGCAAATGGAAGGGGGAACTTGGGTAGCAGGAGCACAGCCTTAAATGTGTAAACCAACAAGGCTGGCTGTGTCCCAATAAAGCTGGACACTGAAATTTGATTTTATGTGTCACTAAATATTCTTTGAATTTTTTTCAACTATTTAAAAATGGAAAATCCATTTTCAGCTTGCAGGCCATACCAAGACAGGTAGCAAGCCAGACTGGCCCGCAGGCCAGTTTGCCAACCCCTGGTCTAGATGAATTTGAAGGGCTTAACTCTAACAAATAATGCTGACTAGGTCTCCTTGTGTATCATTGCTAAAAATAATGTAAGATTATCCCTGCATACAAATCCAAAGGAGTGCATTCTCTGCACCAGGTGAGAAGATACTCTCAGTCAGGTGCTGACCAAAAAACCCTGTCTTAACCCCCTGGTCTGTAGGTGTGGCTGAGCCAAGGAGGATTAGACCTGCACTCCACATCGTAATGGGTCAGGCCAACACAGGTGTTATTACAGCAGAGTTTCACTGTGACATTTGCCCCTAACACGTGGACTGTGGCTCATCTGAAAGAGGCAGACATGGACGGCATCAGTCTGCATGTGCCACCTGGGTTAAGGCAAACATTTGCATGGGTCAATATATTCGGATAGCAGAATGAAAAAACATCTAAGTGAGGCCTGGGAGGTAGGGAGCACTTAAGTTATGCATTCTGGAACAGCTCTGGTGTTTTTGAGAAAGCATTTCCACAGAGCCCCTCCAGCTACTGAATTAATCTCTCATAGCTAAATTGACAGATGAAATGGAAATTAACAATGTGGTGTTTTAAACTTGCTGATTTCCCTTTTGACTAGTTTTTACAGGAATTGTGAATTATTAAATGCAAATTTATAACTGCAGAATATGTATGTGCCTTGAACTCGGTATTCGGCTTTAAGAATGATTCTTATACCATAAAGATGAGAATATTTTGTGGGCAGATACCAACATTGGAGAAGAGATTTCACATATAATCTTATACATGCTTTTCAGGCACACAGCTATTGCCTAAAGCAAGCGAACGTACACTTAAGGCTGTCTTCTACCAAACAATTCCATAACTTGATCAGTCCAGCGCTGTCGTTCTAGATTTCCATTTCAGTGGTCCCCCCGCCCCAGTGTATTAACAACTCTCTTTTGTCTCTTCAGAAGTTATAAAGCGCTGTCATTTCACAGTTAAAAGGCGGTCTAGTCTTAGTCAGTCTTTGTATCTGGTCATTACTGAATAGCACCCCCACCACCATCATGACGACAGGGCCAGGGAAGTTTGAGGGCAACGTCTCTCTTTACTTTAGAAATCAGAGTGATATGAAAAATACCACTTAGCAATTCAAGGTGGAAAAACATACATTAAAATTATTCCCTGACCCCACCCCTTGTACTCAATGCTGCTTCTCCACTGAGGTAAGGCTGTGCCATTTTCCCACGACTGAAAAAAAAAAAACAAACGAACCCTAACAAAAAGCCCATCTCCATGCTGCTAGAGTCCAGGGCTCTGGCCCCCTCAGTCAGACTTCTCCTTCTCCTTCATGTGTAAGAAGACAATGCTGAAGATGAAGAGCCCCAGCATCATGGAGAAGGCGCTGGCGTAGTAGGGATAGGCCGAGGGGATGAAGCGCTCGTACTGCGTGTGCTGAAGCGGCCTCACTGACACCTGCAATAGACACAGGTGGCAGGCCCTGGCCACTGAAGCCTGAGCAGGGCACATGCTGGCTGCAAACAGGGACTGCCGCCTGTGCTTACCTGAGTGGAAGAGTACAGGTGTGTGTAGCCCAGCCGGTTGTAATCTACTTTAAACTGAAATACACCATACACATCGGGCAACTTGAACTGGACGCTGTATTTGCCACCTGGTGAAGAACCAACACAAATAACCATGAGGGGTTTCCCAGAGCTCCCGGAGCGCTTTTCGGTTGGGCCTCACGAGGGCAAGCGAGGGGCAGGCTGTCTTCCTGTAGCCCCTGTATTCTCTTGCAGGAATTACACTTACCTTTCTTCTTCAAGAAGGTCCTCACAAAAGGATCGATGCGGACAAACTCCAGCTGAATGTCATCACCATCAAAGGGTACCCATCTGCCATTTGAGAGCTGCTCAATCACGATGCTGTACTCCTGAGATAAAAGGCTGGTCAGCCAGGTGGCCGGGACTGGAGGGGTGCTGCCACTGGCAGGCAGAGATGCACTTGACTCCCATAACAAGAACTCCCAGGAGTTCTGAAAACCTATATACACCCCCACCATCCACCCCTGCTCAGGACTGCCTGTACTCCTGAGTGAGGTGAGTACCTCTGACCTCGCCTCTCTGCCTCTTCACAGGACCCTGTCCTCAGCACGGTATTTACGGTATTCTCCAAGTCTGGACCCAAACCACTGTCCACTCCCAGAACATGCCACGTGCTGTCAGGCACGCATGTTTCCATATTCACTCTGCCCTTCCCCCCTTTTCGCCTGACAAGTTCACCCTTAAAACCCAACTGAAATGTTGCTTCCTGTGTAAATCCAACTTCCTGGGCAGAGTTCATCAGTGAAGCCCCCTCCCACTACTGTGCTCCCATAGCGAACACACAGTTCTTCAGAAGATCTATTAGGATGTGGGTTTACATGCTGGGCTCTGCAACCCAAGCTGATTTTCTCAGGTGTAGGATTTAACATTCATCCTCATTTACACCCCTTAAGCCTGACATGGAAGTGTTCAATAAATGATTTTGAACTGAGCTGAATCAACATGGCCAAAAACTCAGGCCAAGAAGCTCTTACCACTAAGTCAGTGACAGTGTAGGCATTGGGTGGGGCTGTCTCGCCCACCCGATGATGGGACACAGGCCCCACACGGAGGACACCCTCCTCCTTGAACACCCAGCGGGAGAGGGCCACAGCAAGCTCGTAGTTGCCTGTCTGGGAATACCTGCAGGAGGGAAACAGAAGAGGCTAGGCCACCAGAGACACCTTCTCTCCAGCAGTGCCTGACAGGCAGGACTACTCTTGTCTAGCAAGACAGAGTGCACTAGCGGAGCCCTGCCTGTGGCCTTGCACACCAAGGGGGCCATGGTTGAAGGGAACATAGGAAATGGTGAAAAGATGTAGGCAGTGTTGCTGTGGGTGTCATCTGCACAATAAATACACAAGGAAAAGGAACAGTGGAGGTCAGGGGTCTATAGATAATTCTTTACTACCTTGAAAAGTTGGAGTGCCAACACCAGCAATAAAGCAACAAAGTCAAGTCCAAATAATCTGAAAGCAACTGAAGACACTGCCTCTGATGCTTTTAGCTAAAAGGCTCTTTCCTCCCCATCTGAGTCCTCCCCATCTGCACAGACTGCACTGCCCAGACCACATGGCCCTATGCCTCCTGGCATCTACCTCTGGGAGCCGGGCGTGGCCTTCTGCACTGCTGAGTTGAAGAAGGCATCGCTGAAGAAGTCGAGGGAGCCGCTGAAGATGACCCGGGCGTTGTTCCTGGCCTGGAGCCCAGCAATCAGCAGGGTGTTCTTCCCCACTGCATGGGGGTACTGGGGACAAAATGAGGCTGTCACCCAAGAAGTACCACGGTAAAGGAAAAGCCTCCAAGTCTCTAGAGCAAGAGGACAGCAGGCTGGACCTAAATGGCCTCGGCCCTACTTGAGGGAGGAAGCTGAGATGGCACTGCTTATGCCAACTTCCCCTTCCTGCCAACTTGTCATTGCATCAGCCCCAGCAAGGCGTGCTTCCCTGCTTCATTCGTATTTTCAAATAAAAAAGTGCTTTGTTACTGGGCCCAGGAGCTGGAGCCCTCAAGGCTGCAAGGGCCCTTACCTGGGTGATAGGTTTATCTGGGAAGAAGGAGTAAGAGGTAGAAGAGCCTGTGAGGATGTCCAGAACCAAAGGATTGTCAGGGTCAGCCACCATCCTGTAGAAGTGAAAGAGAGCTGTGCGACACTGACCCAGAAACTAAGCCCAAAGGACACTGGATCCCTTTGGGCTACTTCTTCCCACAAATGAATCCTCCTTTCTTAACAGCCAAACACTTAGCTGCTCTTGCTGTAACAATGGAGTTTGACTCTTGATAGAATAAATTAATCTCATCTACATCCTCTGGGGGAAGAAATGCCCCCAAATAATCACAAGTTTGGCTTGGTTTCCCAGAAAAAGAAAATGCCCTCTTCTTTCCCGGGTTCCTGCTGGCCTCCCCCTGCTTGCTCACCCAACACCCCGGAAGAGGATGGGATTTAGAGATGACTTCCCAACAATGGTCGGGGCCTTCAGCAGGTTCTCGGTATCAGCCACGATGAGCGTGTGCTGCAAAAAGTAGAGGGAAAGACGGGGTCAGAAAAAGGCTCCCCCGAGCCGGGGAGTCCCTCCTGACTCCCTCTTGGTCTCTAGGCTAAGCCAAGCCTTGCTGTACATGCCTGACACCGGGAAGGTAACAGGCCTGATTACCTGGCCAAGGTCTGAGATGTCATAGTTGTGATGGTCAATGACAGCCGTTTTCTCCTCGTCAAACTCGATCCCGCACTCACTGCCCAGCTCTCGAAGAGGGTCACCTGCACAGACCCAAGAGATGCCTGCCTGAGCCCTTACAGGTGGGGCCGGCCAAGTAGCATCACTTGTCCTGGCTTCCTTGTGACTCACTCTGTCCTGGTCAGCCCTAACACCCTGCAACTTCATCAGGCTGCGCTCAGCCCCAGTTGACCCCTGGACAACAGCATGGTATTCACCTCCAGGGGTCAGGATCCAAATTGATAAAACAGAAACAACAACCTGGCCCTCTCCCTCCACAAGTACACAACGGCCTGGTTGTGCACAAAATCCCCTTTGAAGCAAAGCAGTTACCTCAGTCAATCTTGACCTGGGTGAGCCTGGCCTTACAAGGTTTCTCTATTCCTTGTCATCACCCACCAGGGAACCCACCCATTATGCGGAGTATGGTTTTAAAAAACCTGTCAATATGGAAAAAAAGGAAACCAGACTGGCTGGTGTTGGTAACTGTTGAAGCTGGGTGATCAGTACTTGGGGACACTACTCTCACCTTACTTCTGAGTATCTTTGAAAATGTCCAAAATAGAAAACAAGACCAAAATCTGTCAAATGCTTCGGGCTCCATTCAGTTAGCCTTCCCGACTTGCCTTCTTTTTTGTCAGGGAAGAGTTACCAAAACAAAACAAAACAAAACAAAACAAAACAAAACAAAACAAAACAAAGGAAAACAGCCAGTCAGGGTTCCCAGTCCTTCAAAGACCCATGTCTCATTGTCTCTAGTGACAGGATAGCACAGGAGGGACCAAGTGCCAAATGGCTCTGCAGTCCCCCTCACTGACTCCTTGGCCAAGGCTCACCCAGCAAATGCCAATTTGGCAGCTTCCATTTGTAAAGCCCTCTGAGCTGGAGAAATGGTGGAAAACTCTAGAACTTCCCAGGTCAGACTTACCAATGTCTGAGCTGGCGGCTACCAGGACACTGCCTCCACCATCAATAAAGGCACTGATGGTCTCCACGTTGATGTTGCCTCCAAAATCTGAAAGAAGGCACCAGACGCAGTGACCCAGAAGGAACTTATCCTCTGGAGGTCAAAATGAGAGGGAGGTTTACCATACCACATCCAATAAAGGGCAAGCCCCCCCATTTTCTCAGGGTGAGATTCAAAATATTGGCTCAGATTTATGTAAGTTTAGATGAAACAGTCATACACCTACTAATTATATCTGCCAAGTTAGCTGTATATATTTCAGGTCACATATTTAGAAATGTTGCATTTCCCACTCACATTTCATGAAACAATGTTACCCAAACTCAGCACATGCACCTTCACACCAGCATCTCTGACCACTGGAGCCAGGGCTGAGGTCACCTGACAGTTTCCCCGAGCTTATCAGTTTCACTTCATCTAAGTTACTTGAGAAAGAGCACACTTGAATCTGTGAGTGGTGCTGTCACTTGATACTAGTGCTCATTTGCCCAGCATTAACAGGCTTTTCCTATTTGTCTTACAAATTTATATCCATGATATTCACAACAGGACCATTCAGTATGTTGCTTTTTTGTAAAGCGGTCACTAAGGAGCTGGCCAGTTAGTTCAGGTAGTTAGAGAATGGTGCTATAACACCAAGGTCCAGGGTTCCATTCCATGTACCAGCCAGCCACCGAAAAAAAGAAAAGAAAAAGGGTAAAGTGGTCACCAAAAGGACTCATTAATTTGTAACTGTGAGATCATATCCCTATTGGGTCAATCAGTTTGGTCAGATGACTCCTCCCATAAGCACTCAAAATAGCACTGAGTGGGGCTATTTTAGGCTCGAGAGTCTTCCCTAAAGTATACCCTGAAGTTCAACATAAAGTAATGGAGGTAGTACTCACAGCAATTATTCATTTAATGAGTAACTATTTCTTGTGTGCTGAGAAGAAAAAGAAAGGACAACAGGGGAGGGGAGCTATTATGCCAAGGTTGTTCAGGGAAGAACGGTGACAAGTGACATTTGAGAAGATGTGAGTGAGCCAGGTAGCACATGGGGTAAGAGGATTCCTGGCACAGAACACGACAGGTGCAAGGGCCCCAAGGCGGGTGGGCATGTCCCCCAGCAAGGAGCCCAGTGTGGCTCAGCTGCAGAGCGAGGGGCAAGCAGCAGGAGACACAGCCAGGGCGAGGCGAGGTGGCCAGTCCACATGGGCTCTGCTTGCCACACAGGGAGCCACTGGAGGAGACCCACATGATCTCATTTATATTTTTAAAGGATGACTGTGGTGCCGGGTGGAGAAGAGGGTCTGGGGGTGAGGGTGGAAGCAGTGAAGGGCTGGAAGGCCACTGTGAGAATTTGGGCCAGAGACAGTGCTGCCCGGACCACAGAGCAGTGGCGGCAGTGGGGAGCCATGCAGGGCCTCCCAGTGTTCTGGAGGTAAGGCCACAGAGCCTGCCAATGGATAGGACGTGCGCTGTGACAGAAAGAGAGGCATTTAAGGATGGCCCCACGGTGTCTGGCCCGAGCAACTGGAAGGACGGAAGTACTATTTTACTGAGACTGGACATAGAAGTCTGTCCATTAGACATCTGTTAGGCAGCTGGAAATGAGTCTATCAGATGACACTGTAAAGATCCAAATATGAGAATAGCCTTCTTTTCTGAGGGGTAATATTCAGGAAAAAAACAAAAAAGTACCTTACCTCACCTGCAAGCATAGGCAGAACATCTTGTATCTGGGGACTCTCTACCTCTCATTACATTTTGAAAACCATCTATCCACTCTCCTACAGAGAGGCCAGGCAGTCTTAGACGACTCAAAAGAGCTTCTGGTATAGAGCAGTGGTTTTCAGCCTGGGGTAATTTTGCCCCTCAGGGCAATGTCTGCAGACGTTTCTGGTTGTCACAATGGCCCAGAGGTGGCTACTGGCATCTACTGTAGAGACCCAGGATGCTGCTAAACATTCTAAAGTGCACAAGACAGCCCAACGCTATCTGAGCCAAAATGTCAAGAGTGCCGCTGTTAAGAAACCCTTATAGGGCCGGCCTGGTGGTGCACTCGGTAGAGTGCGGCGCTTGGGAGCGCAACGGTGCTCCCGCCGAGGGTTCGGATCCCATATAGAGACCGGTCCGCTCACTGGTTGAGCGTGGTGCGGGCGTGACACCGAGGGTTGAGATCCCGTTGCCGGTCACGAAAAAAGACAAAAAGGAAAAAAAAAAAAAAAAAGAAACCCTCATAGAGTGGAAAGAACACAGGCTTTGAAATGGAGACAGCCTGGCATTAAAACTAGGCAAATCCCTACACCTTTCTGAGCCTGATTCTCCAGCTACAGAACAGGGACCCAGTTTTTTCCGGGTACAGAGAATGTGCTTAGGATCCCATCTGCTGCAGCTATTGCTGCATGCGACCAGGGAGCCTCCTGATCCCAGAGAGGGCAAGGAACCCACTGGTGCATGGAGAAGGAAGCTAGGCCAGTGTTTGCATACCTGACAGGGCTAATGGTGGTCACAGGACCGCAGAGAGCCCTCGAAGCAGGGGCCAAACTCCTGCCCTGAACTCCCCAGCAGATATAAACCTTCTCCCCAGAGAATTTCCTGCAGCAGCATCTTCCAAACTGTGGGGTCCACTCCATCAGGGATAGAAAAGTGACGTGAGGACAGGGCTTTAAATAACATTGAATCTCAGAAGTTACTTCCTTTCCAATTATTCTTCAAACTTTCTCCATCAAAGAGAATTTCTTAGTCTGATACTCCTCTTTTAATAGGGATCCTAAGGTTCAAAGCCTTCACCAGGCAGCAGTATCTGGCTAGAACTTAACAGTGTGTTTTCATTCTATTTTTAGTTACATTCTGCTTACATTAAGTGATGAGACTGGCTTTTCATTTTCAGCAGTAATAATTGGTTCATTTCTGGCTCTCTTCTAAAATGTTATTTTAGTTTTTTTTAAGGAAGTTAATTTGAAGAAAAATATTAAGTATTTATTAGCATAGTTGATAAAGAATGTGGTAAAAATCATAACGGAGGTACACAAATGAATAACACTTGGGAACTACTGGCTTTAGGCTCTCTGGCATTTCTCCCACCAACAATCTCCTCTCTCGACCTTTTCCTGATCCATCTCACCCACTGCTTCTTTCCTTCCTAATCTATTTCCAGCAGCACAATTTGGACAGTTCCTCCCCTACAGCTTACATCCCAACCCTGGGCTTGGTAACTCATTTCATTTGTATTCCCTCAAAGACAGACTGAAAGGACTCCTCCAGGGCAGGCTCCCTACCCTTCTATCTCACCCAGTCCACTGTACAATATCTATCTCAGAGTTCCAAACACCAATTACTCTGATGAAGGCACCATTCACCTGCCCAGTCATTTGAAGATTTTAACTTATACAGTCTGAGGTTACAACCACTCAACTACTCTTGCCTCCAAGAAGCTAATTCCAAAGGCACATGTTGCAGGGGAATTGGGAGTAACATGGTAAGCGACAGGAACCTAGGGAAAAATACTTCCAGGATTTGATGAAACCCAATTTCACATGAACTACAGAGAATAAAGTAGCCGCTGAGACTACCTAAGCTTCATCACCCAAAGGGAGGGATGGCAGTAGTATCTCACCCCAGACAGGGACTACTTGAACCCTTTGAGAAAAAGATAAACTGAAGCAAATTAAGAAGGGAAGACTAGCATGCTCACCAAAAAGGCATGGCAGAGAGAACAGCCAAGGAGCTGGGGCTACTTAGCCTAGGGAAGAGACAACTGCACTGCACAAACTATGATTACGTGAAGGCTGTGTCTTTAAGCGAGAAAAGCATTAGACTCATTCTCTAAAGCCCTGGGGAGAGTGAGAACATCACACCAAATAAAGTAGAAAGTAGGAGACAGATTTCAGTTTCAGTAAGAACTTCTTAGCAGACTTGTGCAGTGGCGGAGTGGATTGCCTCATAAAACGGCAATACTGAAGTGTAAACTGGACAATCTGGCAAAGATATTCATCCTGTTCAACAGCTAGCCCCCTACTAGACCGCTGGACAAATCCATCCAGGTTTAAATGGGAGGCGGAAGGAAGCTGTGCTAAATAATTGCTAAGGCTCTTTTTCAGCTTGAGACTATGAATCTACCTGAATTCTTAAGATCAACTGCCACTATGCACAATGTCTCTTTACAGTGATCCATATTAATAACATGCTATTTCTTCTTCCCACACGGGCAAACCCAAGCGGGGAGCTCTCCATTTTTCTATCAGACCCTTTACAGAGAAAACTTTCTTCTCAGTAGAGCAGCAGGGCCCTGGGGTCCATGGTCTGTGCAACACTTGAACCCACAACCCTCAGCTGTGTCTTTAAGAAAGATGTCCCCTCCTGGGCCCAAGTTAGAAATTAACATTTCCTTCTTCTCTGGCAACAGCAGTGCTCAAGGCTGGCAACCCATCCCCTGACTCAGAACACACCCAGGAACCAGAAGAAAACGATCTAGTCCTAGGCCTGGAATCCCCGTGCTGGGGGCGACGCGCAGCCCTTACCTTCTACCGAGGGGGAGAAGATGATGAGATTGTCATAGAGGAACTCCCCGTACTTAATGAGAGACAGGCTGGGGTCATCAGCGGTCTTGAATGTGAGTTCAAAGCCCCGGTCTGGACGGAAAGAAAACGGAGCTGAGGCAGACGGGACCCAAAGGGAAAAACCCCTGCTGCAGACATCGCGACCCTCCACCCCAAGCGGCAGTCCAGGCCTGGGCGGCCCGTGCAAGGAAACCGAGTGGGAGGGAGGGTGGTCGACGCCCTCGAGCTCGGGCGCCTTTCCAACCCCAGTGCCCCGCCGCCGCCTCGGCCCTCGCGCTCACCCTTCAGGCTCCGGAAGAAAAGAGAGTGCGTCTCCCGCAGGTTGAGGTTGTCCAGCAGCACTAAGGTGCGGGGTCCGCTGGCGCAGACCGAGCCAAGCACGGGCAGCAGCCATAAGAGGGACCGAGCACGGGCCGCCGCGCTGGGCTGCATCTCCTCCTGCCAAAGAAGCCGCACCTGGACAACGGAAGTGGCCAGTCCACGGTCGCCCAATCGCGGCTCGTGGCCGCGGAGCACCGCCGGAAGTGGTCGGCTACGCCGGAGACGGAAGTCCAGGGCCGCGGCCTTGGCGGAAAAGAGCAGGGAGCACCGCCGGAAGTGCGCGGTGGGGGGGCAAATCCTCTGAACCCTATTGGCGGGAGGGGCGGGAGGTCCAGCCTCCCCAAACGAAAAGGCGCAACCCTAGAGCGACAGCTCTGCAGCCGCGGCCAATCAACAAGGCCAAGCTCCCTTTGGCTCCGCCCAGGCCGGGCTCCCGCTCCTGGTCGCGAGCCTGCCTCCTGCAAAAGTGGTCCTGCTTCCTGTGGTCGGTCTCCGCCTCCCTAGCCTTGATCGTCTCATCCCGGACGGGGGTTGGGGCCACCTCTTCGGCCCTCACTAGTGGGCTCCTCACCGGTCCAGGGCAGATCCAGGTCTAGGAACCAGGCCGTACCTCCCCCATCTCTAGGAAGCAAGGGGTAGGAAAAACAAGATCAGGAACAGAGACACTGAGCCTCCTGCCTGCCGCTCCCGGCTCCAGGGGCCTCGGCACGGGCCCGTCCTGCCCAGCCTGGCGGCCCATGCTGGAGACAGCGTGGATGGGCGGCGGACTGGCCTAGGCGTTAAAAATCTTCGTAACTTTGGAATCAGAGCTGGGTTCAGTTTGCAAGCTTCGTCTCTCACTAGGCCTCTTACCCCGGCGCTGCGCTTCTCTCCAGTCCGGTTTCCTTGGCTATAAGTAGGGATAATAACGAGGTCCTGCTCCCCCACTTATCTGTGTGCCTTTGGAACAGCCTCTTGGTTATCGAAGCACTCAGTGCTGGGCTAGGCTGAGCATCCACTCCGTAATGCTGGCTCCCACCCCTTCCAGGTTAATACAGGGGCCACCCGGCTCACCTCAACCACCTGCCTCAGTCCCACCACACGTCTAAGTAAAAACTACCACAAGCAGCTGCAAGACTTCAACTGTTCTGTAAGTCCCAACCACAATCCAGGGGCCAATGGTGGAGGTAGTTGCTTGTCCACCAACCTAAGAGCGGAGGCAAAAATCCAAACCTCCCTCAGTGCATCTCCCTGGCTCCATCCCCTCTCCATTCCCACTGGCTCCGCCCCTCCCCACACTTACTCCTGCACCGCACCCCTCCCACGCTTATGCACACACCACATCAATCCACGTTAACCCACCTCGATTTCAGACCTGATGATGTCAGATGTCAACCCGTTGTTCAGGAGTCTGCCGCAGCTCAGGGACACCCAAAGACTCTTCACTCGCAGGTCTACACCTAAACTCACCTTGGCAATCAAGTCCCTCTCCCGTCCCTGCTCAGGGTTTCCATGGAACAGGCACCGTCCAGTCTTAACACAGCCTGAGCTTCCCTACCTACTGCCTTTTGTGTATGCAGCTCCCTCCACCAGAAGCACCCTCCCCACACTCCCATCTTAAATTTTCTAGGATCTCCTCCTTTATGGGAGCCCCATCCAACGCTGCTCCCTTCAGAAAGGCTCTCTTTGTTCCCCATAACCCTCCTCTGACTGCCTCTGGTTAGACTCATCTCTGTCGTTTTCTATGCACACCCCAGCCCAGCTTCTCCAGACTGTGAGGTCCTTGGCCCAGGCACGTGGCTGTGGGGCCTGCCACAGTAACTGATACAAAATAGGAGGAATAAGGACTAGCACAGAGTGCCTAGTATGCCCCAGGACCTTTACACACTATCTCATTAAACTTTCACAATAATCTTGAGGGGGATGTCATCCCCATCTCACAGAGGAGGCTCAGAGTGAAATGAAGCTCAGGACAGAACCAAATGCCAACTGTTTTACCTCAGATTGTGGGGCCCCCCACAGGGCAGACCTGGGATACAATGGCCAAGGGAGGGCTGTATCCTAGGTGGCCTGGATTCGTTTCTGGCTATGTCAGGACACCGTGTTCTAGCACAGCCCCTTGAAGGCTGTCAAAACCTGAGCCTATTTCTGGCCTCAGCAAGAGATGGCCCTATTTTCCACAAGGGCTATGCTTTCCTGGGTCACAGATCCTTTAAGAATGTGATGAAAATTCAGAGGCTCTCCCCAGAAAAATGCACTTGTATTCACAATTGCAAGGAGTTGCAGAAACCCCAGAGCCTGTTTGTTCTAAAGGCCCCAGGCAGTTAAGAACCCCTGTTCCAGAAGGAGCGTCCCCAAGTTGGCCAGGCAGCAATGGCAGGGAGGGGCCCCACTGACACTGTCAGAGGATCAGGGAAGAGGAGCTCATACTAAAAGGCAGTTTATTGGGCAGCTTAACATGAAGTGGGTTCTCTGGGCCACAGGCCAGCAGGAGTGGGCAGCGCAGGAGCAGCTGCTGCAGGAACCCCCCCACCCATCCTGCTGGGCACGGCTCCCTCGGGAAGCAGGGTCGACCAGATGGAGGTGCAGTTCTCAGTTGCCAAGAGGCTGAACTTCATCCACGTGGCAGTGCTGCCAGCTCTGTCAGGGCTGCTGGTGAAGGCTTCAAGGCAGGTCTGTGGCTTCTGAACCCATCAAGGCAAAGACCAACACTGGTGGGCACAAATGGCAGGCCCTGTGGCAGGCAAGTGGATGGAAACACTGATGTGGTATGGACAGCTGGAGCAGGCCTCTCCGAGGATGGTCCAGTCTCTGAGGGGCTCAAGGCCCGGGAAGAGCTGGGCTCTCTGGGGAACAGGGAAGGGAATGTGTCTTCCCAGGCCTGGTTGGGGCTGCCCTGGGAGGGCCTGTCAATCTCCAGAAGCCTAAGGGTGGGGCAGCAGCAGGCAGCTGAATTCACAGAGGCTCGCTGCCAAAGTTGCTCTTGCTTTTCTTCCGCTTGGCCTTGGTGAAGGGGATGTCGAGGGACTCGAGACGGAAGGGCCGGGGCTGGGGCATTTCAGGGGTCTGGGTGGGTGGGATGGCAGAGTTGTTGCTGAGGGGGCAGCTGAGGCCCGGCGGCGAGTTGTGATGCGCTGTGGAGAAGACAGGCAGAGGGTGTGGATAAGCGAGGGGGCAGGGGATGGGGAGAAAGCGCCCGTGTGGAGGGTGGAGAGTCCAGCCCGCCCCCCTACCCAGCCAGAGATCCGGGCCAGGCAGCTGGGACCCAAGCTCTGGGGGGCTGCTCGGGTTGAGGTATCAGACCCAGCACTACATCTACATCCCAAGGGCTTGGACTTGGGGTTTGGGGTTTTAAAGCCTCAGACTGAGGCAGCCTGGGATCTCACAGCAGACAACCCTGGGTTCAAAGCCCAGCTCACCCCTTCCTAGCAATACAACCTTGGGCAAGCCACTTCACCTCTCTGAGCCTCAGTTTCCTCCTCTGCAACATGGGCACAATGCCAAGAACTGAATTGAGGCTAGTTTCTTTCCTGTCCTTTTTTTCTCCCTTATTCCTCAACTCCACCCACTCTGTCTCTTAACTAACCTCAGTATAGAACTAAGATTTGCTTTCTATTGATATTTTATTGGAAGCTCTGTGGGCTTTGCTTTTAGTTTTCCGGGTTTTTTGTTTTGTTTTGTTTTTGCAGCTGGCTGGTACAGGGATCAAACCCTGGACCTTGGTGTTATCAGCACCAGGCTCTAACCAACTGCACTAACCAGCCAGCTCCTGCTTTTAGTTTTAAAAACAGAAGAATGAAATGATTTTCGATTCCTGAAACTGTTTTGCTTTTGTGGCCCTTTTTGCCCACCTTGGCCCAGTGGTCCTTGATAGATAAAGTCAACCATTCTCATTTGGGGAATGTCACAATTCTGGTCTCAGGAAACTGGCCAGTAACTAGTAAGACCCAGACCCGTGCAACCCCATGCCAAGGCCCTGAGCCATGTGCTGAGGGCCTACTGTGTGACAGGTGAGAGAGATGAATCAAACACAGCGCTTCTTCACAAGGAGACAAAGGGAGACTATGTACTGAGCACCTAATATGTGCCAGGCCCTGGGCTGGGTCGTTTCTCCACCTCATGTCCTTTCATCGAATCCTGAGAAGTATGTGTTCTCCTCATTTTACAGCTGAGGAAACTGAGGCTCAGAGAGGGAAGGGGGATTTTGAAACCATGCCATCACGCCTCTCCCAGTTTTGGGGGCGGTGGCTCATGGGGGACTGGAGAAGCACGGGTGGGAAGGGCACTCACTGAGGCTCTTCATGGGATCTGTGCTGAGGATCTGGCTGGCCCGCTTGGACCGGAAGTAGTTACTGGCAATATTTTCACTGTCGCTGCGACTGAGCATCAGCTTATAGCGGTCTTCTTCCTGCTGAGATTCCAAATCCTCATTGGTCAAGACCCCTTGTTTGTGCAATCCTTCCCTGGGCCTCTTGCCCTGGGCTCAGCAGCCTCTACAAGCCTGGTGGTGTGGGGACTACCCTGAGCCTCCCCAGGCTGTGGCACAGGGCTGGAGCAGCCACTGCCAACTTTCAGGTACCCTACTACAGACCCTGGACTCCAGCGTAGGATCACAGGCAGCTCAGGGCCAGGGAGTCCCAGTCTGCAGCCAAGTCTACACCCCAACCTCCCTTTCCTTGAGATGGAGAGTGCCTTGTTCCCTCCTGCAAAGCTCAAAACAGGGTTTCCTGCCAGTTCCAGTAGGGGCAACGGTGATACTACATACCCCAAACCCATCACAACATACTGATCGAGCAGAAGATACAGTACTCAGCTCATGAGTACATCTGTGATCATTAGAACTGGAATTGTAACCTTTTACCACCAAGGACTGTGATTTTTCACCACTGTCACGGACTTGTTTTCCTCAGTCTGAATCCCTTCAGGGAACTACCCTTTTCCTACTTGATATGGTCCCCATGGGGTGATCACTCATGCCCTACACTACACGCTGGACATGTGACTCCCAACACCCTTGCCACACAGCTAGACACGTGACCCAGACTGCACCAATTGCAGAACTACGTCTTCCTGGACATAGTGACTGACCCAAGAGTAGGCCCATGACCCCAGCAGAGCCGATCAGAATCTTCCCCCAAGCTTTGGTTTAAGGATGCTGTAAGAAGTCTGTGGAGAAGGCCTGAAGCTAGCATACCAAGGGAAGCAGAGGCAAGAGGTGAAGAAAGACCTAGAACTCAGACTGCTTGAGCCCCTAGATCCAGCCATGCCTGAAACTGGTCCACTTACAGGAAACAATAAATTCCCTATTTTGCTTGATTGCTTTGGTATCTGTCTCTGGGAACTAAAAGCATTCTGACATAACCCTTTGTGGTCCCAGGTTAAGAATGTGTTTGGTTTTTTCCCAGCAGCACCTTTCTCTTTTTTACCAAGTTAAGCTCTCAAAGCAGCCTGTCAGGCTTTAGACCAGCCCGAGACACTCCTTGCAGCTGCTCTGAGCTGCTCAGGCAGAGACGCGCAGCTGGAATTCACTAACCTAGGAGTGGCCTTATCGTGACTGTAAAGGTATGTTCTGTGTGGACTTTCTGAAACATCTTTAGTGGTTTAAGGCAGCGATCAGCAGATTGTGGTCTACAAGCCAAATCTGGCCCACAGACTGTTTATTGGCACACACCATTCATTTACATATCGTCTATGGCTGTGTTTGCTCTACCACGGCCAAGGTGCAAGCAGTGATGGGGAACATATGGCCCACAGAGCCTAAAGTATTTACTATTGGATCCTTTCTAGAAAGTGTTTGCTGACCCCTGCTTTAAGGAATATGTTTCTGTTGCACTGCAAAATATGAACATCAAGTGACTTTAGAATCCCAATTACTGTTTCATGAATGCTTTGAGAACTCGTTTGTTCTGAGGGGCCCAGAGAGCCAGAATGTGCTGCTTGCCCTCTGGACTGGAAGCCGAAGCCTCTGTCCTTCACTAGCAGGATGGGCCACCTTGAACCGTCTCTCCCTCCAGTCATTATGACTGTCAGTGCCTTTGAATGAGGGCCAGAGAGGGTTGAGGCTCTAGGTGCCAATGGAGTGACACAGAAAAGGACCCAGGCCCAGCCCCCTGCTTTGGTCCTGAGGTGGGAGGAGACAGAAGCCCAGCTCCCTGTAGTACCACCGCCCTGCCGCAGCTCCCCACTCCCTCTTCAGGAGCCTTACCATGTTTGGCTCGCCGCCATTGTCTGCTGCAGAGGTTCTGCAGGCTGGCTTGTTCTGTGGCCCAGTTGGAACTGCTACGAGAAAACAAAAGCTAGAGCCACCGCTGCCTGGTGCGAGGGTCACAGGCTGCGGCCAGGCATCAGCACTCTCCCCGGAGGTAGGGTCAGGCCTGACCCATACTTGAAAACAGGAGAGCACCCTTCCCAGCCCAAGCCAAGGGATGCCTTTGGGAAACAACGGGCAACAGGGAACACCAGAGAAGCCACTCCCCTGCTTCCTAGCAAGCCGGCAGGTGGGTGGGGGCAGGAAGAAGCTGCTGCTGCCCAGAGCTCGTGGGAAATGGAGCTGGCTGGAGTTTCAGCAGGATGGTGTCAATGGCCATCCATAAATATCAGAGACATAGGACCTGGATGAACACTGACCAGAGGAAGCACTGATGGGGGCACTGCGGGATATAAGAGCCTACCTCTCCCCGAATGGGCAGAGCCAAGTCTGTGGCTAGAGAGAGCTCCATGGCAAGTCCAACTTTACTGTGAGACCTATCGGAGGTGGAGGGGCCTTCAAGGTCCTCTTACCCAACCCTTATTTGTAAAGAAGCCCAGAGAGGAACCTGAACTTCATAAGGTCACACAGGAGGTCAGCAGCAAAATCAGAAGTTGAACCAGGCCTGAAACTCTGAACAGCCGGTTTCTATCCGTGGTCCTACAACTCACTGCTGAGCCTGTGATTCCGCAAATCACTTACACCCTCTGAGATTCGGTTTCCTCATATGTAGAGTAGGTATAACAATCTTTACCCTTCACAGGCTTGTTGTAAGAATGGAGTAAAGACAATGATGGTGACAATGACAACAACAACATGTACCAAGCACTTACTATGTGCTCTGAGGGTTTTACATGTATTGATACATTGTAAGCCTCACAGCAGCTTTAAGAAAGGTGCTGTCACTCATCCCCATTTCACAGATGAGGACACTGAGTCCCAAAGAGGTCACACAGGTAATGATGCAGCCAGAATTCCAACCCACACCTGTGTGTCCAGAATACACCACCTTCTCAGGGCCCCGACACTGCCGATACCCAGGGTCACGTGTCTGCTGCACCCACAGCCTTCAGGGAGAGGCCCACACTCCCTGTCAGCCTACAGGATGGCGAGCTGTGGAGGAGGGAGGGCAGAGCGAGGGGCGGCCAAGCTCCTGACCTACTGGGAGGCTGGTTTTTATGATGATGGGTTCCGGGATCTTCCAGAAGCCATTGTCTTCATCCCAGCAGGACTCGTGCCTAATCTTCTCGAGGTTGCTGTAGTTACAGTCCCGGCGAATCAGGGGCTGCACCTGCTCCAGGAGCTGCTGGAAGAGCATGACGTCGCGTTCCTGCCGACGGATGGTGGCTAAGTAATCGATCTTCTCCAGCTCAAACTCCGACTGCAGGTCTTTGATCTCCACCTCTGCTGCCCGAAGCTGAAGGCAAAGCACGACCAACAGTGAGCAGAAAGCACACCTGCCATTCGCCTGACCACCCCATCCGCTGACTGTCCTGCCAGCAGCCACTCCACAGCTGCTCACTGAACCGTTCATCCATCCATTCTTGTCTCCACCACCGTCCAGCATCCTTCCCTCCATCCATCCACCTTCTCTGACACTCACTGGTCCTTTCAGCCATCCACTCTCTCGCCCTCCCACCTCCCCACCCAGCATTTAAATGAGCAGCTAATGTGTCCACAGCCTTGCAAAAAGTAGGAGGAAAAGCTCATCAACCCCAGCTGCCATCCTCTGTCACCATCCCACATACATACATCTCATTCAAGAGCCTTTTACAAGTGCCCACATACAATACTCTGGTCACCACATTCCCAAAATGTTTCAGAGAACTGCACAAATGACTTTTCTAGGAGGAGCAAGAGGCATAAACTCTCAACTCAATAGTCCTGACTCTTTCACTGGCACAGTCCTCCGTTATGGTGTGACAGTCATTGCGCTTCGAGTCAGATCCACCTTATCTGATCGTGGGTTCCGGATAATTTTGGTCACCTGCCCAGCTCTGCCACACTGGTCCCCCATCCCTCCCAAGCACAGGCGACTGCCAACCCCAACCATAACCACGCTCCACCTGAGCCCCAAGACTCTCTGGCGCACAGTCTGTTTCCTCAAAGAGCAGGTACCATTTGATTAGCAAAGAAGGATGTTTTAAGTTCATGGGAATGACAGCCACCCAGATGAGAACAGAGGATACCTGGTAGGACACACAGGGCAGCCATCGGGGAAGGGCTAGCCCACAGGGGTTTCAATTGAACTAATAATGCTCCATTTCTTAAGCTGGAAGGCAGATACATGGTGTTCATAGTAATAATCATTATATATTTTGTTCATCTTAAATCATTCACACTGATTTTTATAGTAGCTCTATTGAGATGTGATTCACTTCATACAATTCACCCTTTTAAAGTATACAGTTGAGTGGTTCTCAGTATTGTCACAAAGTTGTGAAATCATTACCACCACCAGTTTTAGAAAATTTTCATCACCCAAGAAGAAACCCCATGCCCATTAGCAGTCATTCCCCATTTCTCCCCAACTCTAGCCCTAGGTAACCACTAGTCTATTTTCTGTCTCTACAGATTTGCTTATTCTGGACATTTCATATAAATGTAATCATACAATATGTGGTCTTCTGCGTCCGGCTTCTTTCACTTAGCATAATATTTTCAAGGTTCATCCATGTTATAGCGTGAATCAGCATTGCATTCCTTTTTACTGCTGAATAATAACCCACTGAATGTGTATACCACTTTTTATTTTTCCACTCCTGATTGTTTCCACTTTGGAGCTATTACGAATAATGTTGCTATGAACACTCATAAACACGTTTTTATGTGGATATATTTTCATCTCCCTTGAGTGTAATCGCCAGGTCATATGGTAACACTAGTTTAACCAATTGAGGAACTACCAGACTGTTTCCCAAAGCAGCTGAACCATTTTACGTATATCCATTTTATGTATATCATACAGCAGTGTGTATGAGGGTTCCCATTTCTCCACATCCTCACCAACATTTGTTTTCTGTCTTTTTTATTATAACCATCCTAATGGGTATAAAATGGTATCTCACTGTGGTTTTGGTTTGCATTTCGCTGATGCCTAATGATTTTGAGCATCTTTTCATGTGAGTATGTTTTCTTTGGAGAAATGTCTATTCAGATCTTTTGCCCAGTTTTAAACTGAGTTGTTTGTATTTTTATTACTGAATCGTAAGTGTTCTTTATACGAGGGTACTTCAAAAAGTTCGTGGAAAGATTTGTATTATCATTTCTATTTTTCCATGTGCCCTTGTATATTCTAGATAGAAATACATTATCAGATACATGATTTGAAAATATTCTCGCTAATTCTATAGGCTGTCCTTTCTTGATGGTATCCTTTGAAGCACAAAAGTTATAATTCTGATGAAATCCAATTTATCTATTTTTTTGTTGTTGTGACTTGTGCTTTTGGTGCCATACCCAACAAACCATTGCCTGATCCAAGGTAACAAAGATTCATACCTAAGGGTTTTATAGTTTTAGCTCTCACATTTAGGTTTTGATCCCTTTTGAGTTAATTTTTGTATATGGTATGGGGCAGAGGTCCAACATCACCCTTTGGCATGTGGATATCTAGTTGTCTCAGCACCATTTGTTGAAGGGACTGTCCTTTCTCCATTGAATGATCTTGGCACCCTTGTCAAAAATCAACTGACTGTAAATGTGAAGGTTTGTTTCTGGACGTTTGATTCTACTCCAGTGATCTATATGTCTATTCTTAACCAGTACTACACAGTCTTGATTACTATAGCTTTGTAATAAGTTTTGAAATCAGGAAGTGTGAGTCCTCCCATTTTGTTCTTCTTTTCAAGATTGTTTTGGCTATTCTCAGTCCTTTGAATTTCCATGTGAACTTTAGGTTCAGCTTGTCAATTTCTACAAAGAAGCCAGCCAGAAATTTCATAGGGATTGCCTTGAATCTGTAGATCAATTGGAGGAGAACTGCCGCCTTACCAATATCAAGTCTTCCAATCCATGAATATAGATGTCTTCCCATTTATTTAGGTCTTCTTAATTTCTTTCAACAATGTTTCATAGTTTCAAAGTATAAGTTTTCTACTTTGTTAAATTTATTACTACTTTATTCTTTTTGATGTACTGGAAATGACATTGTTTTCTTAATTTTATTTGCAGATTGTTCATTGCAAATTATAGAAGTACAATTGATTTTTGCTTATTGATCTCACATCCTGCAACCTTGCTGTACTCATTTATTGATTCTAATAGATTTTTAAAGAGGATTCCTTAGGATATTCTATACATAAGATAATGCAATATGCAAATAGAGATAGTTTCATCTCTTGCTTTCCAATCTGGATGTCTTTTATTTCATTTTGTTGCCTAATTGTCCTGGCTAGAGCTTCCAGTCCAATGTTGAACAGGAGTGTTGTGAGCAGACATCCTTTTCTTGTTCCTGATCTTAAGGTGAAAGCATTTAGTCTTTCACCATGAAGTATGATGAAAGCTGTGAGTTGCTCATGGCTGCCCTTTACCAGGTTGAAGTAGTTCCTTCGTGTTCCTAGGTTGTTTAGTGTTTTTATCACTACAGGTGTTGACTTTTGTCAAATGCTTTTCCTGCATCTATGAAGATGTTCATGTGGATTGTGTCCTTTATTCTATTGATATGATGTATTGCATTAATTGATTTTAGATGCTAAACCAACCTTGCATTCCTGGGTGTATAATCCTTTTTATATGTTGTTGGATTTGGCTTCCTAGAACTGTGTGGAGCACTTTGCATTTGTAGTCATAAGAAATATTAGTCTGGGGCTGAGCCCATGGCGCACTCGGGAGAGTGCGGCGCTGGGAGCGCAGCAGCGCTCCCGCCGCGGGTTCGGATCCTATATAGGGATGACCGGTGAGCTCACAGCGCTCACTGGCTGAGCGCGCAGTGCGGCCGGTCTCAAAAAGGACAAAAAAAAAAAAAAAAAAAAAAAAGAAATATTAGTCTGTAGCTTTCTTGTTATTTCTTAGTCTGGTTTTGGTATCAGGGTAAAACTGGCCCCACGCAATGAGTTGAGAAGTGTTCTATTTCAAATGATTTTTAAAATACATCTTTAAACCAAAAGCCTTCATTTTATAAATAAAATCCAGTCAGAAGGTATAATGGAAGAAGATAACCCATATAGGATAGCAAACAAAATTAAATATCTAGGTGTAAAATTAACAAGATATGTCCAAAAACTAAATGAGGAAGTTTATAAAACATTCCTGAATGACAGAAACATTGGTTTGAACTAATATAAAGAAATGTCATGTTCTTGGACAGAAAAATCCAACCTCATAAAGGTATCAATACACCCAAGCTAATTTGTAAGTAATTGTAAATATTGATTCCCCCCAAAATTCCATCAATTTTTTTCTTTTGAACTACCCAATTGTTTATAAATTCATAAAAAACGAACAAGAAAGAATATCTACAAAAAACCTAGAAATCATTGAGAGAAGGTTAGCCCTATGAGACTGTAAAGCATATTACAAAGTCTATCTTAAACAATGTGGCTGGCACTTGTGCATGAATAGACAGAGAAAGAGAAATGAATAAAAAAATCCAGAAATACACCTAAATGCACATAGAAATTCAGTATACCATAAAGGCAGCATTTGAAGTCAGTGAAAAATAATGGATTTTTTTGAAAAATGGTGTTGGAATACATGAGTAGTCATGTGGAAAAGGTAATATTGAGCCAACTCCTCTCACATGCACCAGGATAAACTACAAGTGGGCCAGAGGTATAAATGTAAAAAAATGAAACCATACAAATTCTAGAAGAAAACATGAGTAAACTTTCTCAACTATGACTCGAAATCTATATGCTAAAAAAAGATCAGTTTTACAAAATTTAAAAATTTTCAATTTTATATGACAAAAAAATACCATAAAGCATAGTAAAAGACAAATGACAAACTGGAAAAAAATATTTTCAACTTATATTACAGACCAAGAGTTAATATTCTTAATATATAAATAGCTTCTACCAGTAAAGAAGAAAAAAACCAACAGTCCTAACTTAAAAATAGGCAAAAGCTGTAAAACAATTCAGAGATTTAAAAAACTACAAATATCCCTAAAACATATGAAGAAATGCTCAATATTGCTCACAATAAGAACAATGAAAATTAAAAGTACACTGAGATATGATTTTTCTTCTAACAAAAGGCAAAAATCCCACGTTTTTTCAATATACTCTGTTGGCAAGGCTGTTAGAAAACACATTTATTCATGGTGGTGAGAATGAAAAACGATACACCCCCTATGGAGGGGAAGTTGGCAATATCTTGCAAAATCACATATGCGTTTACCCTTTGTCCTAGCATTCCCAGTTGGAGGAACTGATTCCAAAGAAACCTACCGAAAATACAACAGTAATATTCACAGGCTGTTCACTACAGCACCCTTTATCATAGCAAAAGCATGGAAGCCACCCAAATGGCCATCAAGAGAGGACTGACTGAATGAACCATGAGACAAGCTCATGGTGGAGTATTTATGTAGCTGTAAAAAGAAATGAGCAATTACTCTATGCACTCCTAGGGAGTGACCTTCAGGATGTATCACTATGAAAAAAGCTAAGTGGAAGAAAGTGTGTATTGTAGCTACTTTTATCTAAGAATTGAGGGGTGTGTGTGTGTATGTATACAAACATCCATCCATATCTTCTTATACTAAGAAAATACACAGTTCTTGGTACGTGAGGATGAAGTAGCCATGTAAATCTCAAACTCTCCAGCAAGATCCTCCAGAAAACACACACACAACAAGGAGGGAAAATAAAACCACCCTTGGCCAGCCCACAGCATGACTGGGAGTTGTAAACACTAGAAGCTTTGAGAGAGAGATAAACCCCCAAGTCCAGCAGACAGATCCTGAGCCACACCACCAGGGAGGTAAGTGGAGAGGACCCAGGACAGCGTGGAGTGGGGCGGAAGAAGGTGACAGCAGCTACAATCACTTCCCCAAAGAGGGAAAAACCTGAAGACAGATCCGAAACCAGAAACTGGGAAACTGGCAGGAGAAACCAGAATGCGTGCAGGACTGCAGGAGTTTGCCTCTGGAAGGCACCGTTTCTGGAGGACATTTAGAGGGCATTTAGAAGTGGGAGGCTCCCTTGAGGTGGAAATTTAAAATCCCGCAGAAACAAGAAAAAGTCACAAAAGACACACTGACTCCAAACGCACACACACACCCACACACAACACACACTCATCGCCATGATTTTTGCCCCCTGGTGTTTATGCTCATGAATATGTTATCTTCCTTGGCAAAAAAGACTTTGCAAATGAAATTAAGGTCATTAATCGATTGACCTTAAAATAGGGAGATTACCCTGGATCATCCAGGTGGGCCCAATGTAATCACATGAGTCTTTTAAAAGCAGAGGAGGAGGGCAGAGGCGGGCAGGAGAGGAGAGATGCTTCTGAAAGATGAGGCAGAAGTAGAGACAGATTCGAAGTGTGAGAAGGACTGTCCCTGCTCGGGGTGTCTTTGAAGAATGTCAGGAGCCGGGGAATGCAGGCGGCCTCTGGAAGCTGAGAAATGTCCCAAGAGTGTCAGGAGCTGGGGAATGCAGGCAGCCTCTGGAAGCTGAGAAATGTCCCATGGCCAACAGCCAGCAAAGAAATGGGGACCTCAGTCCTACGAGTAACCTCACAGGATTAAATCTGTCAACAACTGGAATGAGCCTGGACATGGACTCTCGCCTAGAACCTCCAGAAGGAAACGCAGCCCGGCTAATACCCGATGTCAGTCTTGTAGCTTCCAAGCAGAGGACCCAGCCCCGCTGCACCCACACCCTGACCTACAGAACTGCGAGATAATCAATTTGCGTTGTTTTAAGCAACTGAATTTGTGGTCATTTGCTACAGCAGCAACAGGAAGCAAATCAGAGCTCTATTTTAAACTTCACTGTACAGGTGGGGGATAGAGGGTGCCTAAAAGATAATTTTTTTTTTTTTTTGTCTTTTGTCTTTTTTCCGTGTCCGGCATCGGATCGCAACCCTCAGTGTTGCCCCCGTACCGGACCAGGGACCGGCAACGGGATCGCAAACCTCGGTGTTGCTCCCGCGCCTCGCTCAGCCAGTGAGCGGGAACCAGTCTGTATGTGGGATCCGAACCCTCGGACGGGAGCGCCGCCGCGCTTCCCAAGCGGCGCCACCGGGCCGGCCCCTAAAAAATAAATTTAAAAAAAAAAAATAAAACTTCGCTTTACAAACAGGGGAGTGTGTTATTGAATGAAGAAACCTTGCGAGCCAACTCAACCCTTCACCTCCGCATTCAACTGTAATTGACAGTCCAGAAAAAGAAGACATTAATAAATAAACAGAAAAAGAACAAATGTATCTAATCACAGCTACTATAAAAAACAAAAAATGAAAATCAAAACATTCCAGTGAAGAAAGTTCTCCCCCAAAGTGCAAGCACACAGATCCAAAGAAGCAGATTAAAAATGCAAAACACGCCAAACTTGAATAAAATATCCTGAAACAAGCATTCACAGGTATGAGATTTTCAAATCAGAAATGGGAAAACTTAAAACAGAAATCGATAAAAAATCAAGATGATATGAAACAGGATGATAAAGGAACTCAGGAAAGAAGGGGAAAAACTTAGAAAAGGAGACCAAATTACAGGATATCCGAGGGAGAACAAATTCGATTGAAAACATAACTAGAGGTATTAAGAAAAGATATGAAAACAGCCAAGAAAATAAAAGAACTAAAGAGGTGAAAAGAGGGGAGAGCATCAGCCTCACGCTTTGGCAAGATGCTTTGGCTAAGAAGCCCCTCGCGCTGTGGGCTTCACCTCACGCTTCCCTCCTGTCACTGCTCTTTCCTGTCTTTTAAGGCACCCCAGGAGTCCCCACCTCCACGAGAACGTCTCTGTCCCCCCAGCTGTGGTAGCCCCAGGTACTTCTGGGCTTCTGTCAATGCTCAGCTTCCTGATCTGGGTGCTGGTTTCATGGGCGCGTCCACTTTGTGAAATGAACCAAGCTGTGCACCTGTGATTTGTGCATCCACCATCAATAAAAATGAAAAAATGAAAATACAGTCACCTTCGCCTGGTACTGGCAGTACTTACCACTCCAATACTCTCTTGCCTGCTTCTCCGCTGTGGTGTTTACACACACACACCCACTCCCACTAGAATGTGAGCTTGACCACAGCAGGGACACATCTGTCACTGCGACTCTGCGCCGCCAGCATCAGAACAGGGCGCAGCCCACAGTAAGCACTTAATAAATGCGTGGGTCAAGAACGGAGGGATGCCTGCCCGCCAGCGCGCAGGGGCAGCGGGGCCCGGTGTGGCGGGCCTCACCCGTCTCGGGCTGCAGGGACAGTGGCGCCTGGAGGGGGAGCCTCACCCTCCTCTGCATCTTCTCCAGCAGCTTGCTCTTGGCTCTCACTTCCTCCTGGATGGAGTCGTAGACGTTGAGCAGCACCCAGTCCCCGATGTCCTCGTCCGAGTTCTGCAGGGCCGCCACCAGCTGCTCTTTGCGCTCGTCCGCGTATCGCTTCCGCCGCTTGTGTTTCTCCTTCAGGTCCTTGTTCTTGGCCTGCTCCCCCCCCACCATCTGCTGCTCCAACAGCTGCAAACTGTCAGCATGGAGGAGAAAGCAAACATGGCAATATCTGCCGATCACTGGGCACCTGCTACCCAGCAGCCTCCAGACTAAGCGTGATCCCAACAAATCCCTCTGACAACCCCACTTCACAGACAGGTAAACTGAGGCTCAGAGAGGGGAAGGTGCTTGCCTAGCATCAAAACGAGGATTTCTACCAGAGCCCCCAAATCTACACCTGTGTACTTGACCACAGTGGTGGGCCTGCCCAACAGTAAGGGTGACAGGCTTCCTGTGGGCTCGGAGCTGGTCCATCCCCCAATGCTAACAGTCACTGCAGCAGAGCAGGCTCGTGTCTGTGCTCGGAGGCAGCCAGCATGATTAGAATAACCCCAGGTTGTAAAAAATGTCCAATACATTCAGTGCACAATGTTTAATCAGGTAGGGGCATGTACAATACATTTAAAAATGTATTTATATCCAAAATGCTCAAAAATGTTTAGGGTTTTACCCTTTATATATACAAATGTTAAAAAACTACAGAGAAAGGCTTAGGTGGGACTCCCCACTGTCTAACAAAGCACCACAAGGATGTTTTAGGCGTTGCCTCTTTCCAAGGGCCCATCAGGAACTGGTAACACAAGGCATCATAAGGATTCATAAAAGGGGAGAAGGTCAAGCTCAGGGAAAAGACTGGAACTTGGTAAGCTGAGCAGCCAGGCTCTGACTCAGCTTCAGGCGTGGCTCTAAGCTCAGTGGCAGCCAGGGCAGAGGGGACCATGTCCAAGTCACTCCTCTGTTTAAAATCCTTCTATGGTCCCCATCAGCATGAAGCCCACACACCCTCGGGGGGCACACAGGACCCCTCTATCTCATCTCCCTCTGCATCCAGCTCCCCTAACTCACTACAATTATAACTCGCAGCTCCTACCTCTCCAAACACCCAGGCCTGTTCCCACCTCCATGCCTGTGCAGATGCTGTGCTAGAATGCCACCCCTGGGGCAGGTGTCTCACAAACATACTCAGGTGTCCCCTCTTCTGTGAAGCCTTCCCCGATGACCTTCACTCCAGACCATATCATGGAAACGGCCACCACATGTGCTGAGTGACTCTGGGTGCCCAGCGCTGGGTGGCCACCTCTGCAGGCGCTGCCTCACTCACCCTCACCAATGAGCTTCTCAAGCTGCAACTATTCATGTCACCCATTTTGCAGGTGAGCAGCTAAGGCATAGAGAGGCTGAAGGTCTGCCCGAAGTGGCAGAGCTGGGGGAGGAGGCAGGACGGGAACCCAGGCAGTTGGACAGTCGGACCGCACAGCCCACTCTCGTGTTCACGGCCTCGGAACATGGCCCTCCCCGGGCCTATGGATCTGCCTCCCGCCCCGGGCCGTGAGCCCCTGAGCCCCATGAAGGCCAAGGCAGCACAGCACTCATCTCTGCATCCTGGTGCCCAGCCCTTAGCAGGTGCTCAGTTAACATTTCACCTGTGGCCTGGGGAGCTGAGCGTCCCACTGCTAGGAGGGGGCTGAACCCTGGGCTGACCTTGTCATGGAGGTGAGGCTGACATTATCATTTACAGAAGTGAGAGCCGAGGCTCAGAAAATCTGAGCGACTTGCAGAAAGCCACACAGCAAGCGAGAAAAGCCCAACTCTCCAGGTGGTCTCAGAGGGTGTCTGGGGGTGCTTGTCCCTAGGGTGAGTGAGTTTTACATCAGGGAGAGTACTGGAGGCCAGGGGACTGGGGGCTTGGCAGGGACCTGAGGAAAGCCTGTGTCACCCTGTCCTGGGATTTCTGAATGCTGAGGGCCAGGCCCTGCAAGACCAGGCAGGTGACAGTCCCTTCCCTTTCTCCCTAGAGCAGCTGCTCCCCAGCAGGTGCCTGACTGCCATCTGGTGGCAGCCTCTGTGGCTTCCAGGGCAAAGCCCTGTCTGCCCGGCTGACTCTAGCTCCTGGAGACAAGATCAGGGCCACCTCTGCCATGTTAGCAGGGAGAGCTGGGTGGTCGGCACCCCACCCCAAGCCTGGGACATCGCTTCTTCCCACCCTACTGCAGAGTCCCACCAGCCCAAGTTCTGGTGCTTACCGGGCAAGCACCTGCTGCTGGTCCACAGCAGGCAGTAGGTCGTCTGTCACCACTGCCACCTCCACACCCATGCTCTCCCTTCTTACGCTGCCCGGGATGGGCTGAGACTGAGCCACCAAGGCCATCTGGGCCTCCGCCTCATTCCACACGCCAGGCTCTGCTGCCAACGCCACCTCCTTGACCATGTTCGGGGCAAGATCAACCTCCTGAGCACAACGAGAAACCAAGATGGAGGTGGGAAAGCGGCCCCTGGAGACAGTCTCACAGGTGGCCTCTGTCCCAAAAGGGGGCACTGTGTCCCCCATCCCACCCTACAGTTGGGGACAGATTACCTCTGGCTCAGAGACACCCAGTTATACAAAAATGCACCCAAGCGAGTTCTTACTGCCTCCATTTCCACCAACACACCCACACAGTCTCCAAGCTTCCTCTCTCGCCCCCCACAATCCAGCCTCCATGCAGCAGCCGGGGCGATCTCCTTAAACTGCAGGCTGATCGCAGCCCTGTCCTGATGACAACCCCTCAGGGCTTCTCATTGCGCTCGCAGGAAAGCCCAGCTCCCTCCATGGCTGCCACACTGTCCTGCTCCCTGCCTCCCCCGGCCTACCCCACCACCCACCCCTGTCCCAGCTGCTGCCACCCTGGCCTCATCAAAGTCCAGATCTTTCCACCCCAGGACCTTGGCACTTGCTGTCCCCTGTGCTTGCTGCTCTTCCCTGGCCCCTCCTTCTTGGCTGGGTCCCACCTCAATGTGGCTGTCTAGCCAGGACCTCCCCGGCCACTCCACCTACCGCCCCCTGAGAACCTGCGGTGTCCCAGTCCCACCCAGTGCTCAAGTCCAGAGGTGCAGTGGCCTTTCTTAAAGCCTTCCTCTCACACGCCATAGCCTGCTGTGTCTTCAGCAGAGGAGAGGGGCGGGGTCCAAAAGCAGAGGTATTCAGACCGGGTTCCACGCCCCCACAGGGGTTCCCTGACAGTCCCTCAGGGTCACCAGCCCTGACCTGCAGCCCTCGTCCTCTGCACACCCTGGGCCTCCACTCCATGGCTAAGGAAAGTTTGAAAGTCGCCATCCAGAACAACGGGCCTCTTATTCCCATCAATAATAAGAGGTCAGACGATTCCTCCAGTTTGTACATTGCTTGGCCCAGGGCCATGTGCCACAAGCCCTGACTCATTCATGGATGAGGAAACTGAGGCCCAAGAAGGGAGGAGATGAGCCGGATTCTCACAGGAAGTTGGACAGAACCGGGCCTGCCACAGAGGCCTGGCCCAGGGAGGTACTCACAGTCCTGGGCAGAAAGCCATCGGCCACCTCAGCTTCAGACCTGGTGTCACTGGGCTCTGGCAGGTCTGTCAGGGAGGGGTGCTTGGAGCAGAACAGGGTGAGAGCATGAGGGATGGTTTGGGCCAGAACCATCCCCTACTCCCCCACTGTGACCTCCGCTTCAGCTGCCCCAGACCGCTCGCCAACCCACAACCTCCTCCTTCCTGGCACTGCTGAGAGCAGGGCCCGTCATCAGCACCTGCTGGGTCCCAGGAGCGCCGCCTGCCCTATCCCACCTGAAGCACACACCAGCATCCCCACTGGACAGATGAGGAAACTGAGGCCCAGAAATGTAGCCGCCCAAGGCCACGTGGCCACGTAAGAGCTGGGACTTGAACCCAGGTCTGTCTGATTCAAAGGCCTGGGCTCTAACACACACACACACACACACACACACACACACACACAAAGAGGAGAACGAAGAGGGGAGAAAAGAGGAAACTTTTAAAACATAGAAGAGGGTTGAAAAGGAGCCCCTGGTGGTCATGGAGAGGCAGACCCTGCCAGCCCTGAGCATGCACAGCAGGAGGGGTGACCAGGGTCTCCCTCTGCTCTTTCAGGCCTGGGAGCTCCGTCTAACCCCCAGCACAGGTGTCCCTCCGTCAGCAGAACAGGTGCCCACCTGGCATACCCGTGCATCTCGGTCTCAACTTTCTGACTCACAGAGCATCAGACAGAGCTTCTCTTCCCAGACCCCCCGATACTAGTGCCCCTGAGCCGGCCACCAGCACCCAAGCCACAGCAGATACAGCAGAGGTGCTACCAGAGCACCAGAGGTCAGAAGTTCTGTGTGTGCACAATGACCTCCATGCCCCCAGCAAGCTCAGCCTGCTCAATTTTGCATCAGCTACCTGCACGGGGACCTTGGGGACATCCACCTGGGGTGCGTCTGTCCTGGCCACAGTGGAGGAGAGTCTGGCCAGCTTGGCTTCCACCTCAGCGAATGGGTCCTGCAGGCCTGACAGCATCTGCAGGGGTGTCACCTGAGGCTCCTCCTCCTGGAGGTGGCGGTCATCCTCCAGCAGGGACCCAACGGCCTCCTGGCTGAGATACTCATCTGAGAAGTATTTGCTCTTAGGCTGTCCCTCGGGCACAGAGAACTCCAGGCTGGAGGGCTCCTCCGGCCCAGGGAAGGCCTCGGACACAGAGGATCCTTCAAGTGTGGATGACTCATTGGACCCAAAAGAAATCTCTGACTTGGAGGGCTCTGCTTGGGGCAGCTCCTCAAACCTGGAAGAAGTCTCGGTGTTGGAGACGCTGGCACTGGATGGAGCATCAGGCATGGAGAAGACCTGGGGTTCTGTGGCCATCTCATGGTGGAAAGCAGGTGAGTACTCCCTCTTATTGGCAACCTCAGCCCTGGATACAGCCTCAGCCTTGTAGAGGACTTCCGCTTTCAGGACAGCCTCTGCAAAATGGGGAACTTCCTTTAGTTCTTTAGAAGGTTAGGAGGGGACCCTTCCCTGGAAGTTGGCCTCAAGCCCAGTCTCAAAGAGACCATCTGAAGAGACAGAGCCTCCCAGGCTCCCCAGAGTCTGGCGACAGCCAGCATGCCTTCCCATCTCTGCCCCAGTGCCCTCTCCCCCATCAGAACTCAAACCCTGCCTCCTTCCACCTCTTCCAGGAAGCCTTCCCTGACCAGCACTGTGGTCTTTCCATTCTCTGACCTCCCCAGCCTCTGATGCTGCCCCGGGACTGCTCTTCACACATTAGGAGGTTCCCCGTGGGTCTCACTGCCTTCAGAGGCTGACAGCTCCTGATCAGCAGATTTCATACCCAAGACCCCTAGATGCCCTTCTGGAGTGCCCAGCTCACGGCTCTTGTCCACAGAATATGCTAGATCTGTGGGAGTTAAATGAATGATGTGGATAAATGTTAGCACTACAGAAACCAAATGAAGATCACTTGGAAGCCTAATATTCAAACTAACTGAAGGGAATGCTCTGAAGGACAGAAAATGCTAGAGTCTGCCCCTTCCCTCTTTCTCTGGGTCTCCACCAGAAGTGGCATCAGCTTGGCGGGGACTATGCTCACACAGGCCCCCTTAGTGCTCCCAGCTCAGGGGGCTTCAGACCACCTCTCTCACATCCCCCATCCCTTTCTTTAGAGCTGTACCCCAGGCTGTCCTGAGAGGGTCCTGATTTTCCCTTTGCTGAAATATGTCATCTCCTCCCCAGCTAAATGGCCTGAACCTCTATCAGCCTTGGTTTCCACAACTGTTATGTGAGGACTCAGGAGGTCCTTCCTCACTGGACTGTGGGGAAGGGCAGTGGGAGGGGGCAGGTAAAGCCTCTGCACAGCACCCGGCACACAGCAATGCCAACAAATGGCACCGAGGAAGCCATCGGTATTGTCCTCATCGCAAGACTGGACTTTACAACATTTTCCTCAGCGCTAGACGTCTGGGCTTCCTGGCAGCAAATGTGTGTGAATGAGACTGGTGGGTGGAACACCCTAGAATGTCAAAAAGAAGACAAGACTTCCAGACAGGAAAAAGTTAATCACTGAGTCCTTGCTATGGGGTGTAGCTGCTTTGGTAACAGACAGGCTCAAAAGCGAGAGACTAGAAAATGCAGAAACTCGGAACAGGGGCTGACCTCAAAACAAGGGTGACACTTCACAACTCTAGGTCAGCCTTGAGCAGCGGGCCCTGCCAACAGCCACACCATCATGAGACAGCGTGTGGGTGAGAACACGGCTCTGGAGCCAGACTGCCTGGGTTCAAGTCCTGGCTCCACTTTACCAGCTGTGTGACCAGGGGCAAGTTGCTTACCCTCTCTGTGCCCCTGTTTCCTTGTCTATAAAATGAGGGCAGTTGTGGTATCGACCTCACTGGACTGTCGTGAGGGTGAAACTGAGCCTGGTGTGTAGCAGGATCTCTACAGATGGCAGCTGCTACTAGGGGGAGGAAGGCAGGCTGGGCTGGCTGGCCTCAGCCCGGGGCGCGGGCCCACCTGTCTCCTTCCGCAGGCTCTCCTTCAGCATGGACAGCTTCACGTCGTACGAGTTGCGCATGGCAGTGATGTCCTCCTCCAGCCTGGCCCGGGACTCCTGCTCCGCCTCGTAGTCGGCCTTCAGCTGGGCCAGGCGCTGTTCGTACTCCTGGGGGTGGGTGGGGGAGACCAGAGGGGGCAGCATTTCATCAGCACTCCAAACATCACATTACTCAAAGAATACAGAAAATATGAATAAGCCAAAAGGATAAATTACAACACTGTGACAATTCCTTGCTGGCAAAGACCCTTCTGCACCGTTCTCTCTGCATTTTGAATGGCCTAATAATGTATGTATTATTTGCAGTCTAGTTTTTCCACATAACAATACATCATGAGTACCTTTCTGCGTTGACAAATATGTTTTCACCCAATGGTCCGCAACCCACCCACAACAAAACAGATTTTTATTCATCCTCTTTCCTCTCCATCTTTGCGATCACCTCCAGCTCTTGTCCAAACAGCTCCCACCTGGTCCTCCCAACCTCCACGCTCATGCACCCGTGAGAACAGGCTCCTCCCCTGCTTACGATCTGTCAGTGGCTCCCCATGTTCACGAGTAAGACCTAAGCCCTCAACATGACCTGCTCCCCAACATGGTCGGGCCCTGCCCACCCCCTGACCACCTGGCTACTTGCCACTCCTGGACACGCCACTTCCACCCTGCCTCGGGCCATCACCTGCTCCCTGGCAGGCTCTTCCCAGGCCTCAGCTTGGCAACCCCTTCAGGGAGGCCCTCCCTTGCCACCCTCTCTGAAGACCGCCCGGCCACCACCTTCTGTCACTGCACCCCTTTCTTCCTAGCATCCTGGGCTTCCATTCTTCTCTTTACTTATTTGATTACAAGTTCAGTCTCTGACTCCCCTGCCAGGATGGATACTCCTGTTTTGTAGAGCAAGGGTCATCCTGTCTTGTAGCCTCAGTGCCTAGCACAGAGCAGGGACTCAAATATCTGCCGAATCACACAGAAAGAGAAATACCACATGTTCTCACTTATTGGTGGGAGCTAAAAATAAATAAATAAATTCACACACACACACACACACACACACACACACACACACACACACACACAAAATCC